CGCGTTGTGGCCACCCAGTCGGGGCACAGGCACCTCTACACTCGTGACCACCAGATAAAATGGCCCTGACAAGGAATTTAAGCACTATTGATGCAAACCGTTTCTAAAACAAGGGAGGAATGCTGCAAAAAGGTTTAGTAAAAATTACTTCAAACTGGATTTACATTAATTCAATTTAACTTACACAGCTTCTGGCACATGGATGCTCCAGATCGCGATTAGATGCATTATTGGAAGTAGTTCAGCTACAGAACTCACACTGGCAACGTTTTACCCCCTGCTTTTAGTATACACGTCATTGCGCATGAATGTCCTTAGCCTTCAAAAAATGCCAGCGATCTTCATGTAATAATAGGCAAGGTAAAGATTCAAAATAAATGTAATGAAATAAACACATGTGCTTCTAATACTACTCCTGTAATTCCTGTTTGGCATAAAAGTGACTTATGAAACATTTTGTTTATGTAAGGTCTTAGTTCAGTGAACACACACTCAGAAATAGCTTACCGGGTTTTGTTCATCAAGTCTGCTCCACGTGCTTTGTAATAATCTAAATTTTGTTGAAATTGGTGAGTCACTGGTCTTGGATTTCTCTAAAAAAAAAAAAAAAGAATACATATTTTTTAAAAAGAATACCTTATGGGAATTTTCTGAGACATTTAAAGCAGAGACAAGAAGTATGCTCATTATGAAGATTAGAAATTTAGAAATGTAAAGAATAATTTCTTTTCCCAGGATCTTGGTTTCTCAAGGCAGTAATGCCAGTTACATAAAAGTGAAGTCTTAAAATACTTAAAATAACACCAAGTGTTACCAGTAAGTCCACTCCATGCTCACAGAAATTAGTGTTCTTCCACACAGCGATGAGGCTGTTGGCTGTAGTGGTAACATTTCTAATTAAATCAATAATTCTTGGACAAGTTCAGATACCGATCTGATTTCTTCGTTTAGCTCAGGTATAGAATTTTACCACCTCCAAGCTAAAGTGATATGTTTTTAAAGAAAATGGTAATAGTAAGGAGAAACTGTAGGTAACGTTTTGAACTGAATGCCTCACTAGCAGCGTCTCGGTTAAGCAAAGAATTAAATTTAGAGACAACCTGAACACTGCCACTAGATGGCAGACGGAGCCTCTTTTCTCTCCAGATTTCACCCTGCTCAAAACAAGAGGCCACGAATAAAGAACTGTTCTCCTATAGAAAAATTTATATAATTAATATTGAAACCACAAGCCATTTGTTAGTCTCTGCCTCTGCCACAATGAAACTATTTCACTGAAGCACGCTGCCTACAGTAGTTCTGAAATCGTCCTTTTCAAATCTAATAATCCACCGAACATTGATTAAGTGTAGACCACAATATATGCATAAAGTATCTTGATCAAACGAATGCATCCTGAAGGACATTATTTGGAGGGGGAAGTAAATATTTTTATGTAAATTTTTACGTAAAATTTTGCATACAGATGAAACCAGAGAGGTACAGAGAGACCCTTTTAAAATATATATAAAAATATATATTAATATATATATAAAATTAATATATATTAAAATATATAAAAGAAGAGAGATGGCTTAAAGTAAATAATTTCTAGTGTAAGAGAAAACAAAATGGTAAAGTTCTGCATAATGATAAGATATATTGTATAAAACAGATCTAAATACCTTCCAAGTATTTGCTTTAAAGGTTTATTCATTCATAGGCTGTTGCCTTATATGCTGATCTACCTTCTTAAGTTCTGCTAGTAGTAAATATAGCTTTAATGAACTACGCAATGACCTTTCCAAAATAGTCGTTCACAGGTGAGAGTACATTATATTTTTGACGGAGTCAGTCTTCAGCTGTTTCAGTTTCACATGTCGTATTTTTGCCCTCCAGATTTCATTATAGACTGGAGTAGCCATAGCCTTATCCTTCCATTTTCCACATAACTGCAGACAACTCTCTGTCCTTGGAAACCTTATTTTTGGAGGAGGATATAGGAGTTGCATTTTAAAGACCAAAATATTGCATGTGCACAAAAGGAGAGAAGAAGATTTAAAGAGGTAGATATCATAGGTCAGGATGATTTCTGGGGTCAAATTTAAGGCTGGGAATTTCCAGATCATTTCCTGCAGTCAGACTTAATCTTGTATGAAATGTCTCATTTTCTTTCTTTGGAAACATATTAAACATTTTTAAAATATATCCTGTTTGTAATGTTCATTAAAAAATGAAACAACTAAAAGCTATTAGACAAGCGTTACAAAAATCCTCATCTATCCTACCACCCACATTGTAATGGCCGCTCTACGTTTCTCTTCTCCTGTTATAAAAAACAATATTTGCATAACTCTACCCATTCATATGGCTTATAAGTCAGTCCTCATCAACTGACAGCAATAACAATGAATCAGCTTTAGTTACTATTGCTCGAGTTTGGTAATTCAATGCATTTCTATGATAATCAAATCCAAACTGACGTGATGAGGATAACTGATGGTTCTGCGACTACTATGCGAGTAATCAAACAGTGTAACTTTTCTCCCATGAATTAAATAACTTTTTTCTTTATGTGTCTTGATGACCATTTCAACAAGGTGGAAGAGTAAGAGATGGTTAAAATAATGGGCACCTCCAAGTCATAAGGCAACCCTTTGAAAAATTCACGTTACCAGATGCTAGCCAGTTTTGCAATTTGTTTCCAGTAACTCAGTATATATTTTAAACTCAGCAAAAACAATGAAATTTCTTTTCCACCACCCAATAAATAAAAAAAAGATTATTACACATTGCTTCTGAATAAAAAAAAAAAAAAAGATGAAAAGATCATGTGGAACTGTATCTTGAAACATATTTATGCAGAAATGACAAGCAATTCAAGACACGAAAGGCTGATCCTCTATCTAAGCACTTAAAGCCATTAATAGGAATAATGATCTAACTCGAACATATGAATGAGGCTCAAGCATTACTTTCACAGGGGCCTATTTAAATTCCTATGAGGTTTAAGGTATCAAAGGAAGAAGCAGTTTAAAGCACTATTACATGCAGTGAAAAAAAAGCCCTCAGAAAAAATGCTGTTGAAAAAACATTAGAAATGCAAGACAGTAAATACCAAGGGTTACTGCTGCAACTCCTTTTGTAACACTACAGAGATATCCTTTTGGAAAATTCCATTACTGAAAAAAAACCACCCTGACATATATGTTAGCAGACAAGTATCTGCGAAGTATTACCACAGAAATTTTAAATACTTCTGAAAACTGCACTTCAGACAGCAAAAAATATGGTTTTATGAAGATTATGATCTTTTTGTGATTGTGAAAATGTCTTTTCAATTTTATTTTTTCAACATAAGAAGCAGAAAAGAAAACCTACACAGTTACAGTGTCTCTTCTTTATCAATTTTAAACTAACTATCCTCTCTAAGCATCCAATTTCAGCTATCTCCTACATTACATTCCATTTATTAGGACAGAAGACTAAACAAATTTATTTACAGCAAAACATAACTCCGTTGTCTAAAATATTCACAGCAACCGCATTTTTTCCTACACAGTGCAATTTAGAATGATCCTATTTACATTTTTAATTCCTTAGGCGAGTAAAGATCTTCCTTTTCTTTTTCAATTAATGTAAGTATTTTGACTAGTACCTCAGATAAAATCTTTTTTCTTGAAAGGATAATAACGTTGTTAAAATGACAGAGAAAACAACCCTTCAAATTAGTGGCTTGTTGAATCTCCCTAAGAAATTGTGTAAGGGCATTATACAGATTAACACATTTATGGTTTTCCCCTTCTAAGGAAAGAGGGTACAGAAATCAGAGAGAAAAGCTGCCTGTGCCAATACTAGAAATCCCTCTTCCCCACGCCCATTTTGTAGGAGCAGTCTGCTGGTTTTATAATTCTTCTAATCTTAATTTCTAGCTAGAGTGAGCTTTAGTTTCAACTGGTAGAAAATGCCCAATTTATACTTTTAAAGAACTATGGATGAAATTCAGATATAGAAGCATATACAGAAATTTATGTGATTTTTTACTTTGTCTTTTCAAAACGTATTAGCCACAGCCCAAAGGGAAGAGACGCTTTAAAATGTTTCAGGTACCTCTGAGGTACTCCTGCCTCTGAGCCCTTCCTTGCCTAACAGATGCTCCCCCCCGCCCCCGTTTGCCTGCTGAAGTCCTAACCCCCGTCCTCCTGCTTCTGTTCCCAGTCACCACCAGACTGACTCCCTCCAATTCCCACGGCTGGCAGGAGGTTCTTGGGGACTTTCTGTTTGGGTTTATTCTCCTCCAGGGACACGGGGCCGAGTTAAATTACACCCACGCCTGCTCTTTTCCTCGGCGGGGGGCTGAGGCCGCGGTCAGAATCGCACCGAACGCAGCAGAGATTCCCTAAACTTGCATAAACTGCTGAAAAGCGATTCCCACCAGCCGAGGATCATGCTCCATATGCTCAAATTCCCTGGTATAACCCTTTGGAGGGGTCAAAGGGTTATACTGGCCTCCGGAGGCATATCGCGTCGCGTTACCCGCGGAGTTGATACGATACAGCAAAGCATGCGTGTGTGCGACGGAAGTCACAGGCAGACTGTTCTACAACACACCAGGAAAACCAGGTTACTGCTGCAACGTAACGTTTCACCATCTGAATACACATTATTTGTGAAAGTTTACACGTGGGTGCAAGTGGAGGAGTCTCTACAACACTCCTTTTTTCTTCTTTGTCGAGGTATTTCCTTTCCCCCCCTTTAGTATTATTAACAGAAAAAAAAAATCAAATACAGTCTTGCACAAAATCTGAAGGTTCAGAATAAAAGACAACAATGAAAAAAGATTTTCAATATGTCTGATGAAAAATGAGACTTATTTTAGTGAACATGCTATTGCCTCAATGCCAAGGGAAAAGCACTCGTCATTAGAGAAATGAATTGCTCAGCTGTTTATAAGCAAAAAGCTCTGGGGGAATTTCTCAAGGCCCAAACCACAAAGCATTGCAGGGTTACACAAACATATGTTGCAGGTGTTTTAGGATAGACAGGTGGGAAAACCTCAGCTACTGAAAAATACTCCACTTAATAGATTGTATCTGAAACTAGATAACCTAAATGCAACAGAGAAAAAACCAAACAAAACAGCAGCAGTGAATTATATGTACAGGCAGCAATAGGCTCACCAAAATAATCACCTCACTAGTGCCAAATGGGATTTTTTTAAACTCATTTCTTTCAATATATTAAACAAATGCTGCCAAACATATATCTTTTTTTCTAAACTAATAATATTTTAAGCCTAAACAAAGAACAGACTGAACTAAACATATATAAAAAATGATAAAGATAATGATGCAGTGTTGTTCTTTTTATTTGAGTATTTTTAAGGAGCCAGTTTGCTCCTTTTCCCCCTCTTTAGCTGACAGGGCAATATTGGATTTTTTCATAATTCTCGTACAGCCTAAAACATTTTTGTATTAAAACGCTATTTTTTTCCCTTTCATTTGTTTCTGATGAAAGTTAGAGGAGCGTATGACCCTGTATTCAGTAATGACTGGGATGTCAGCAAAGGTTTACCTTTTCCTTCTAGCTCACCTATGCTTCTTTCTTCAATAAA